TCATCAGCAGCCTTCAGCCTCCTGAGCATGAATACTGGTTGAAATGGAGTACTAGGAGCCGGAGGGAACACAGTGAAGTAGAGAGATGAGGAGCGGGTGTAGGGAGACTAAGACTTTGTTTACCTGGATGGAGATTGTGGGGTCTCAGAGGTGAACCTTTCCTCACCCTCGTATATTGAGGCCAACAAAGACCTCAAAAGCCTTATCTTTAATCAAAGTGACTTTATTGTTTACACAGTTGTGTGAACATTAAACATAACTTAATTACTGATATCCAACAGTAGATGGAACAGTCTGGTGAGTGCCAAGGGCGACTATGACAGCAAACAATGGCACCATCGGAACCATCAGCACCATTGGAACCATCGGCACCAACAAAACCAATGGCACCATCGGAACCATCAGCACAATTGGCACCATTGGAACCATCGGAACCATCAGCACCATCGACACAATCGATAACATCGACACCATCGGAACCATCGGCACCATCGACACCATCGGCACCATCAAAACCAACAGTACCATCGGAACCATCAGAAACATTGGCCCCATCGACACCATCGGAAACATTGGCACCATTGGCACCATCAGAACCATCGGCACCATCAGAATCATCAGAACCATTGGCACCATCAGAACCATTAGAACCATCGGCACCATCGGTACCATCGACACCATTGGAACCATTGGCACCATCAGAACCATCGGAACCATCAGCCCCATCGGTACCATCAACACCATTGAAACCATTGGCACCATCAGAACCATCAGAACCATCAGCACCATCGGCACCATCGGTACCATCGACACCATTGGAACCATCAGCACCATCGACACCATCAGAACCATCAGCACCATCGGCACCATCAGAGCCAGCGGAACCATCAGCACCATCGGCACCATCAAAACCATCTGCACTATTGACACCATCGAAAACATCGGCACCATCGACACCATCAGAACCATCGGAACCATCGGCACCATTGGAAACATCAGCACCATCGGCACCATCAGAATCATCGGCACCATCAACACCATCGGCAACATCGGCACCATCAGAACCATCGGAACCATTGGCACCATCGACACCATCTGCAACATCGGCACCATCAGCCCCAATGAAACCATCAGAGCCATCAGCACCATCGGCACCATCAGCACCATGGGAACCATCAGCACCATACGCACCATCGGCACCATCGGCACTATTGTAACACGGGGAGGGGGTTCGGTTCTGATCTGCTCTTACATTCCCTTTACCCCTACTCGTATCCTATTTACTTTGCTTAATACCAAGGGACCCCAGAGTTGCTTCTAGTCGAATCCCACGCCACGTGGTCTTAGCCGTTTTGACCAGCTAAGATTCTACAACCTCAAGACTTGGTACTAGACTCCTAGCAAACTCAAGAATCTCCTTCTGCTGCCACCACCAGACCATTAACAAGAAGCATTAATTAAGCGGGGTCTGGGCTGAATAATCACTCATCAATACCTTGGGGCTTAATCCCCAATTCCTTGGAAAAGGAGGGAAGAATCTACGTTAAGTGTGGGTAATTATAGCAAACAAAGGGATAACTGAACGCTTACACTTTGTTAGGCTTGCTGCCCAAATAAACTCAGACTCATGGAGACCACGTGACAAGGACACAAGAAAACATGAAATGGAAATAATAAAATGCAATTACAAACTGAATATCTAATAATTGCAAAATCTAAATAAAGTCACTCCCTATACTTAACACTCCCTACGAGGCATAAGATGAACTATTTTCCTATACAAAACTGTAGCCAACTATACCTTGAACTGCGACCAGTTGTTGTTCTACTGATCTATCTAGGGAGAGGGTGAGAGTGGATGACCTCTCCGAGTCATTGACCAGCCCAAACTGACTAGCTAGCCCTCCTCACCACGAGGCTAGAATGTATTCCTATGCCAGGTTCACTAAGTTTACTAGCAGGGTTTTAAGTTTAACATCTAATCTCTGTTGTACTGAACAACCCAGATGGTTGAACTCTTTTAAACTGAAGGTAATTGCACAGGCGTCTTAGGGAAAGGCTATTTCCAATTACAATATGGCTATTTGACATTTGAGAATTATTAAATATGGAAGGCTTTGGTGACCTGTGACCCCGGGTCGTGCAAGATTGCTCAGTGTCCGAGGCTAGTTCTTAGCTAGTGATGTCACTGAGGATTAATCACTTATTAACACCTTGGGGCTTGATCCCCAATTGCTTGGAAAAGGGGATTGAAGAGAAGATCAGAGACGATTTCCCCACTCACCCCTGTTTTACAATGGTGGCACCGGTGGGATATTCTTGAGTTTGCTAGGAGTCTAGTGTTACGAACCAAAGTCCACCATCGGAACACGGAGCAGTGACGTCAACGCCATCTGTGAGTCCACTCCTGAAACCCCCACAACATGGACAATGCCATCTAGTGATGACGGGAATATACCGGCAATAGGCGCTGGATTCCTGTTCTAGTCGGTTCGAGAGGTAGCCGGTGCTGACCTCTGGTTAATACCTGGTTGATGGGGTTCTGGGAGTTCTTCTACTCCCCAAGCCCGGCCCGAGGCCAGGCTCGACTTGTGAGAGTTTGGTCCACCAGGCTGTTGCTTGGAGCGGCCCGCAGGCCCACATACCCACCACAGCCCGGTTGGTTCGGCACTCCTTGGAGGAATAAATCTAGTTTCCTCTTGAAAATGTCCACGGTTGTTCCGGCAATATTTCTTATGCTTGCTGGGAGGACGTTGAACAACCGCGGACCTCTGATGTTTATACAGTGTTCTCTGATTGTGCCTATGGCACCTCTGCTCTTCACTGGTTTTAATCTACATTTTCTTCCATGTCGTTCACTCCAGTACGTTGTTATTTTACTGTGTAGATTTGGTACTTGGCCCTCCAGTATCTTCCAGGTGTATATTATTTGATATCTCTCTCGTCTTCTTTCTAGTGAGTACATTTGGAGGGCTTTGAGACGATCCCAATAATTTAGGTGCTTTATTGCGTCTATGCGTGCCGTATATGTTCTCTGTATTCCCTCTATTTCAGCAATCTCTCCTGCTCTGAAAGGGGAAGTGAGTACTGAGCAGTACTCAAGACGGGACAACACAAGTGACTTGAAGAGTAAAACCATTGTGATGGGATCCCTGGATTTGAAAGATCTCGTAATCCATCCTATCATTTTTCTGGCTGTCGCAATATTTGCTTGGTTATGCTCCTTAAACGTTAGGTCGTCAGACATTATTATTCCCAAATCCTTTACATGCTGTTTTCCTACTATGGGTACATTTGATTGTGTTTTGTACTCTGTATTATGTTTAAGGTCCTCATTTTTACCGTACCTGAGTACCTGGAATTTATTACTGTTAAACATCATGTTATTTTCTGATGCCCAGTCGAAAACTTTATTAATATCAGCTTGAAATTTTTCAATGTCCTCAGCCGAGGTAATTTTCATACTGATTTTTGTGTCATCTGCAAAGGATGATACGAAGCTGTGACTTGTATTTTTGTCTATATCTGATATGAGAATAAGGAAAAGCAGCGGTGCAAGGACTGTACCCTGAGGTACAAAGCTTTTCACTGCACTTGGACTAGATTTTATATGGTTGACAGTTACTCGCTGAGTCCTGTTTGACAGAAAACTGAGTATCCAGCGTCCTACTTTACCGGTTATTCCCATTGACTTCATTTTGTGTGCTATCACGCCATGGTCACATTTATCGAAAGCCTTTGTGAAGTCCGTGTATATCACATCAGCATTCTGTTTCTCTTCTAATGCCTCAGTGACTTTGTCGTAGTGCTCAAGTAGCTGTGAGAGGCACGATCTTCCCGCTCGAAATCCATGTTGGCCTGGGTTGTGAAGGTCATTGGTCTCTATGAAATTGGTGACCTGACTCCTAATCACTCTCTCAAATACTTTTATGATGTGCGATGTTAGTGCAACTGGTCTATAATTTTTTGCCAATGCTTTGCTCCCTTTGTTGGTGAGGTGGCGCTTAGACAATGAGCGCTATCTATGGAACAAAAAGGTGTACGTAGGTGTCTAAGCCAGTAAGTGATGTTTCCCAGTGGTCCCCATGTAGTATCCCAGTGTACTGATGACGTGTCTGTATTTACAGAGTCAACGTAGAGCTGCTGTGATGTACGAAGAGTCAGTCTACCCAAGGCAGCCAAGGTCTCTACACCAGTCTGCTTCACAGAAGCAGGGAGCCACCGCAGGACGAGAACTGTAGAGTGTTCAACTCTCTGCCTGAGGAGTGGCAGTGACTGGATTCGCCGTACCCGGGGCTGGCTGGTGGAAGAGACAGCTGACTGTGGTGTTGAAAGAGGAGAGTAACCAGCGAGTTACACGAAGCTCCTGCCTAGGGCTTGCAACCCTAGTATTCGCTCGTGAAGTGGCCTAACAGCGTGAGGCTGATTGGTACCTGCCAGCAACAGGCTGAACTGTGGTTGTGGGCCTTCACGATGAGGCACCTAGTGGAATTGTGATTTGGCTGGTCCGAGGCCAGAGTAGACTCATCGTTGTTTCCTGGTACCTGCTGAGTGTAGTGCCACGGATAAGGAAACCTGGTAAAAGACTGCACGGAGTGAGCATGATGATGTACATAGTGTAGTAATATTTTCGGTTTCAGACTTTTATATATATATGGTGATGGGAAGACTAATTATATATGGTTAAAGTGTCGAACTTGTGTATTTAATGTACCTCCCCATTTTATTTTACATGCATTACTGAGCTCACCTCTTCAAAGCCTCTACTAACTTGGGGTCGGATATATGAACTTTCGTACCACCTGAAAAGAACCCGGTTGCGTCCCATTGTGGCCGTAACATCTAGTACCACGTCGTGAGGTTGTAGAATCTTAGCTGGTCAAAACGGCTAAGACCACGTGGCATGGGATTTGGCTAGAAGCAACTCTATGGTCCCTTGGTATTAAACAAAGAAAATAGAATACGGGTAGGGGTAAAGAGGACTGAAGAGAAGATCCGAGATGATACCCCTCCCATGTTACACCATCAGCACCATCGGCACCAACGGAACCATCGGCACCAACGGAACCATCGGCACCATCGGCAACATCAGCACCATCGGCACCAACGGAACCATCGACACCATCAGGACCATCGGCACCATCAACTCCATCAACACCATCGACACCATCAACACCATCGGCACCATCAGCACCATCAACACCATCAACTCTATCAACACCATCAACACCATCGGCACCATCAACACCATCGGCACCATCAACACCATCGGCACCATCGGCACCATCAACACCATCAACTCTATCAACACCATCAACACCATCGGCACCATCGGCACCTGTGGGATATTTGGGGCTTGAATCTGATTATTTAAATATTAATATAGTAAATTAAATTACGAAGGACCACCCGCTTTTATAGTAAAGAGGGAAACTGAGAATTTATGATCATTAGATAATTCCTAGATGAAACCAGTAACTATGGATAAAATACTAGAGAATATAATCATAGAAATAATTAATGGGCTGTATAATTAAATGAATCAAACCCTCAAACACCTACATTGGGGGGTTATTACTGGAGGTAAGTACGTCCAGGAATTAGTGTGGTTCGTTCACTAATCCAATTAATAATAATCTAATCCTATGAATTATAGTGAAACTGATGTCATTACCATGAATGGGAATATAGAATATAAGTATAGTAATGAGAGTCACAATAAACACATGTTAATCTTGAGGAATTCTGCATATAAGTAATTCAGAATAATTCATGAAAATAAAAAAATAATCTTAGCTTAAAGACGATTCCTTTATGTAAGCCACGACGATTCCTCTAATTCCCTGGACTCGGCTGGTTGACGAATGGGATGGATTAACATGGGCGAAGGCGGCAGGGAGAATTCTTCTCACGTGCTGCAAGACAAATATTTACAGTAGCAACTAATTAAACTACTGAATCTATATATTCAAGAATTTGAGAATTACAGGTGATAAAATTAATAACCTGTAGTTTGATGTTATCGTGCGTCGTCACGGTCAATCACCCAGCTACCACAAAACACTTTACAAGATGCATCAAATAAAGAGAATATACTTAGCTAAAGGGCACTGTATAAGTTTTAAGATTGCCGAAATTCGCGTCCCCAGGTTCTGGCTAGGCCTATCCTGGATCGTGGCGCGCTTCACTGGCCGGTCACGTGTCGTCAAGAACCAGGTTAAAGAGGTTCCTTATATGACACCAGCAACAGTTGAAGATATTATCTGCAAGGTTATTCACGCCTCACAGTGGCGACTTTCATCTGAGGATGGATAACGTCTGCCCTAATGGCTGGGCAATGGCGTCTCCTCGTGAGAGCAGGTCTACCTCAGAGCTCCTCTAGACGCGTACTGGCAAGCCTCCTCAACCCACGCCGCGTCCCGCGTTCATCAAACAAATTATTGTCACGAACATTAATATTTCTCGCATTTACGCTCGAAACGTTGAAGACTGGACGGGTTTATTATTTAGAAGAGGAAAATATTATTATTTGCCAGTTTAGCGATAGTAAACATATAAGGGAGAGGAATTAATGTCTCTCCATGGCATTCACTCTTGACGTTAACTTTTATTACTAGATAATTGCTATGACTCCAACGCTCTATTCGGCTTTTAGTTGGAGGTCAATTCATCTCTAATTAATTATCATACAGAATGCCTCAGTTATAGAGAATCGAATTTAATTCTCAAATACATTGGATATAATGTGTTTATTGTAAGGAAATCTGACGCAATACTGGCGTCGGGTGACGTGAGAATTCTAGCCTACTGCACAGATGAAATTATTAGTACATGAGAATTCTACGTGGTGTTAATTTTACTTACTACAATAATTAGTAGAGTTAGTAATAAGTAGTGAGAATACAACAGTGTGAATTCGGTGTTGGAAATATCCAACATAACTCCGGGGGGAGGATTCTAGGGTCGTAGTGTACTGTGTAGTACTGACCTATCCCGAAGTGATATTAAGATTAATACATTAGTATGTTAATATGTTAGTATGTTAGTACACACATAACGAACGTCCCGGATTTATCAAGGACTTACAAGAACTTGAGTCTTGCTATTTATATGTCAAATGAAACATGTTGCTTGTAGCCTACACAATATTTATAGAATTTAACTCTCCCAATTTAAACTAACAGAATCTACGGTGATGCGATATCCTGGGTCATAGTGACGTGTAATGTTTTGTTACATGATATCACATCGTAGCATCATCATAGTTATCTCAGTGGGAAATGAAGGAAATTACTCTTGTTCAGAGTTGTAATAGGCTTGCAAATTCCTCCTACATTCTTGAGCAGCAGCTCTAGTGGGGCGGTTGCTTGGAGGAACAGAATCATTGTCCTCGGAAATTATTGGAGAAACTGGATCTGGCTGATATTCTTGCTCAGTCAGTTCAAGGGGAACCAGCTTCTCTAAAGTTTTTAGAGTAGTGTTGCCTCGGCATAAAACTTTAACTACTCTTAGGACACCTTGTCGATCTGGGTGAATGGTAACAATTTTACCTATAGGCCACTCTGACATTGGTCCATCACTGTCGACTAGCACTAGGTCTCCTGGTTTTAATTGCACCTTATTGTAAGGACTCGAAGCTCCGTAGTGGTACTCTCGTAGAGCTGTGAGGTACTCTCGAGTCCACACCTCATTCCACCTGTTAATAACTCTAGAAAGATGCTGGTAGCTTTCCACCAAGTCTCCTCTGGTCACATGTGACGGGTCTACAGGGTCCTCTTCGGCTAAAGGGATGAGAGGGCTCAGTAGACCTCCATGGATCAAGTGAGAGGGGCTCAGAGGTTCTCTCTGGGTAAAATCATCAGACAGGTAGGTGATTGGGCGGTTATTGACTCGCGCCTCGATTTCCACAACAATGGTTTGGAGTTCCGAGTAACTGACCCTTTGTCGGTGTAAAGTTTTCCTTAGACACTTCTTGACCGTGCCTACCATTCGCTCATAGAACCCACCTTGCCAAGGGGCTCTCGGTGCTATGAATTTCCAGTGACATTGTCTTCTCTGTAAGACTGACTGTACCTCTGGGTGGTTCCAGACTACTCGCAAACAACTTTCTCCTGCCACAAAATTAGATCCGTTGCCCGATATCATTAATTTAGGACACGATCGGCGGGCAGCAAATCTGCGGAAAGCTTGAATGAAAGCTTCTGCACTCATGTCTGGAGTGACCTCTAAGTGTACGCCTCTGGTTGTAGCACATGTAAAGAGACAAATGTACGCCTTCACTGGTATATTATCTGGGTTACCAGTGAGGAGTAAGGCTCCTGTATAATCAACACCAGTGGTTTCGAAAGGACGAAGATGAACCACGCGCTCTTCTGGGAGTGGGGGAGGTCCTGGGTAAGGACACACTCTAGCGTCGTACCTCTTACAGATTACACAAGATTTAATAATGGTCTTAACTGTCTGACGACCTTGAGGAAGCCAGTACTTTTGTCTAAGGTCGGTGAGAGTATCTAAAACTCCACCATGTAGGGTACCATATTGATAGTGATGTAAGACAAGAAGTTTAGTGATGATGTGGTGACGAGGTAAAAGAATTGGATTTTTAGTGTCTAAGTCAATTTTTGCATGTAGCAAACGTCCTCCACATCGTAGTATGTTATGAGTGTTGGCATCGTACCAGATGCCTAGAGACTTAGTTAATTTATCTGGAAGATTCTCAAATTCGCTTCCGTATGTCTCTTGCTGTGCACGCTTGATCCAGTAGTGGATAGGATTGGGAAATTTATGTCGAATTCCTACTTTAGCAAGGAAATCAAACACGTGCGCAGTCACTCGTAACAATTTGCTTAAGTTAGAATAATGATGAGGATCAATGGCTAATATTCGCTGAGGCTCTGGTTCTTTCATGGGAGTGGCGATATTGGTCACTATGACTTGTGGCTTTTGTTTGGGCCACTGACCACCAACAAGCCATGAAGGTCCATTGAACCAAAGCGAAGACTTGACAAGTTGTTTTAATGTCAATCCTCGTGATAAATAATCTGCAGGATTGTCCTTAGTAGGGACATGTCTAAACTTATATCCAGCAGATAAATCATGAATCTCCCTGACGCGATTACTGACGTAAGGAGTTTTGTTGTTATTGTTTCTTACCCATTGTAAGACTGCCTCGTTGTCTGACCACACTACAATCTCACCAAAGTGGATATTATTGAGTGTCTTTGTCAGGCAATGAGCCAATCTTACTCCCACTAGCAATGCAGTCAACTCCATCTGAGGTAAGGATCTCCTTTTGATGGGAGCAACTCTTGCTTTTGATGTGAGTAAAATTGATTGAGCCCTATTAACTAAATAGGCTGCTGCCCCATATACCTTGCCAGAGGCATCGCAAAAAACGTGCAAATTGGTGGGTAAGTTTGGTCCTGAAGCATTACGAGGAAATTTCAGAACTCCTAACTGATTAAAATCCGTTGAGAGTATTTGCCATTTGGCTTGTAACTCACTTGATAACGGATCATCCCATCCCATATGTTTCTGCCAGCACTCCTGCATTAGGAGTTTGCCCCTTATTAATATAGGACTAAGTAGGCCTAAAGGGTCAAATGGTTGACTGACAAATGAGAGCAGTGTTCTCATGGTAAGGGTTGAATTATCAGTTTGCACTGACTTGACATTAATCTCGTCAGTGCTGGTGTTCCATTCCACTCCTAGAACCTTTAAATTACTGGGTACCTGATAATCTGGAAATTCTTTCTCGATTAACTGGTTGAGCAGTTTATTATTTGAGGCCCATGACTGTAGTGGCATATTGGCTCCTAACAGTTCACGGTTAGCCTCATGGTAGATTTCTACCAGATCAGCTTGATCATTAGTTGTCCCCTGGAAATTGTCGACATATAAGTTGTCGCTAATAGTTGCCTTATAAGGGCTGTCTGATTTCCTCAAATGCGTGTCTAAAGTGGCTTGCAAAAGAAACGGTGAGGACGTAGCTCCAAATAATACGGAGGCAAACCTATAGGTGATTACTCCACTGTTAGGGTCCAGTGGATCCTTGAACCAGAGGAATTTTGTGTAGTCACGATCTTCCTCCTGTAATCCTACTCGAAGAAAGGCTTTGCTGATGTCAGCTGTATAGGCAAAAATGCCTGTGCGAAATCGTAACAACACGTCATGTAGCCTTT